TACCGCCTAAAATTTTCATTATTTACAAAAAAATTCATTATTTTCACAAATAAAGCAAAACTCAATAAAATTAGCAATAAAATTGTGTATTGATTACAATAAAATGAACATATTGCAGTGTGTTTGTCCTCAGTATCCACATTCTATGAAATTCCAAATTATATTCACCGAAATGGCGAAATTGGCACACAGATCAGTCAGATCTTCAGTACTGCAACTGCGTGAGCTCGAGATATATGTAATTCCGTGGCGTAAACGGTAATTCGTGTTTTGATCTCTGTATTTACCACCCAAAAGGATGGTAAAGAAATAATGAATAATGAATAATGAAAAAACCCCGCATGTTTTTTCAAAATTATCCGGACGCAAATCTATGACTTTCATTCCCATGGCCTTAGTGATATCATTTTTTCGTTAAAATTAGGTCAAATTTCCTTTAAACATACATGGAATTGAGTTTATTTATGGACACATATTTGTAAAAACAAGTTTATTAACTTTTTGTTTAGTTATTTAAGCAAATTCGCCGCCGATATATGTAGTTGTAATGTAGACTTGGATCAAGTCCGTCTCAACAGAGTCCGAGTCGCGAAGCGACGAGATCGAGCGCGCCGCGCGAGACTGAAGGGAGAGACGGACTTGGCTCACTTGCAATGTTTCGAATCAGAATTATTATTTTGGCGGGAAATTATATTAAATAGGACCGGCGTTATTTTTAGCGGTTTTGTTACAAATACCACAGTCCCTATACTGTGCAAATACGGAAGCCAGCTTCCGTATGCAAGTTTCAGGGCAAAATTAAAATACAAAGTCACTGCAAAATAAAGTTAACTAAGTCTAAGGCAATACATGACCAATTCTAAGACGCTATTATTAAAAACCTCAGTCGAACAGATTTGTTATTGACATTTGTGATATTAACAAATTATCAAATATTTTAATGTTAATAAAAATACGTCTTATATAACTATAAGCCTTATATTTAAACACTTGTTCTATTAAATCGTATCCATAGACTCTTGTAGTTTATTTATATTTTGACTATTTGCACAAAATTTGTCCTGAACAAAATATCCCTGACTGTATCATAATTTCGTGTGATCATGAAGTTTGCCGTGACACTTTATGTGTCTGTTGTGTAGTTTATACTGATCGTATTAAGTGATCAGTCATTAATACAACCGCTATCTCGATCGAAGCATGGCTTATAAAGTCAAAGACGAAGGGGTCTATTTGAAAAATTAACTCTTCCCTGACTCAGTTGGAGCAACCATAAGTTTATATTATAAAGGACATCTCGACCAGCCACATAGGTTTCGACATAAACTCTTCGCTGATTGTCCATAACTTTATCGTATTCAAGTTTACGCAAACCATAAATAATACCATCTCGAATCGAACTCATCATGTAAGTATAAACTAAACCAACCTCCGTCGCAGAGACTTTAACTCAGACACGCTACATATTTTGAAACAAGATACTTTGTTATTTCAGCTTTATTGCAATTAGCATAAATTATTGCAATCTAGTTATGACGTATACCAACGGAAAAACGGGTCGGTAAATTTGGCGCGCTTGCAGGTGAGCCAAGTCCGTCTCCTCCCTCAAACTTTCCCGCGTTTTTGCACCTCGCGCGCCCGATCCCTCGGACAGTGAGTCGGACTCTTGAGAGACGGACTTGATCCAAGTCTAGTTGTAATGTTGTCGCTGTATTATTCATGCTGCATTACTTTATCGCTTATTGACAATTTTTTCTTAAAGAATTCTTTTGTTCGATATAATAAAACTCTTATTGGATTCATCTTCGCCCAATATGGCAAAATATTAAGTCTCGACTTCAATATTAGGCTCGACCTTCGGTCTCGCCCAATATTGAAGTCTCGACTTAATATTTTGCCATATTGGGCTCAGAAGAATCCAATAAGATATATCAAAAACGCCTGCATGGACCTGCTCTTAATGTTAATGTTCCTTTTCAATGTGCGGGCTTTCTCAAAGATTTTGAGGGTCTGTCGTGTAGATCAGTATTGTTAGAATTAAAAATTTGTAAACTCATAGAGAACCCATAGTAGCCTAATTAGTGCTATTTCATAATTTTTCTCAATCTTGCCATATCTTGGTATATTCATAATTTCCGTGACTTATAGTAGGCTACTCATTTAGACATATGCATTATTTTGTAGAATGAAGATGAGACATTCAAACGTGATCAAGACACCCAAGGTATAATATCAACCCGTCAATGTGGAATATTTTGCTCACATTTACCCATATTGTCGCCGCTTCAATGTTTTCTTTTATACTTTGGAGATTTATAACCAACTGCGATGCGCTGTATTTTCATTTTACTTTACTCATTGGCACATTATTCTACTGCCTTTGTTCAAGTCCTTAGACTTAGTTACTTAATTAATACTTTATTTTAAAGAGGGGAAAAACAATATTTACAGTAGCTCCACATGCAGTATATCTAAAAATTTCATCACAGCTTGAAACAGCATCACAAAATTAGTAATATTCCGAAGTTTCGTTGCAAAATGTTGTAAAATGAGGATAATATAGGCCTGCGAAGTTTGCCGTTTTTCAGTCATTTTGTATTAGTTGACCTGCATCTAAGGGCGTAAACGAGCTTATATCCAGTAATAAAATTTGCGTAGCCAAAAATCTCAAATTATTTGATTGGTTACATAAAGGATATGTGCTAATAAGGTGCATAATAGCGACCTAAGTGTGCTAATAAGGTGCATAATAGCGACCTGTGGAAAATACCTGGAAACAGTCTTAAGAAATAATCTTGGCGGGATGCAGCGAAACGTGATTATGTATTAAAGTTTGAAATACAGGGTGTATCAAAAAAAGCGCAACCTCGGAATTTCCCAAGAAATCGACATCGTTTTACAGACAAAAGATTTTAGGCGCCTGGGAATTTAAAATAGCATAACTGTCAAAATTACTGCACACGCGAATGCATAAAGCAAAATGTATGCATTTATTTAATGCACAACAACAGTAATATGATCTATTAGCAATTCGATTTCAATTCCCAGGGGCCTAAAATCTTTTATGCTTAAGAATTGCAACGTGATTTCTTAGGAAATTCCGAGGTTGCGTTTTTATTGATACACCCTGTACAATAATATAAAGATTTTCTTAGTCTAAAATATGTTGTTTGAGTTTGAATCTTGTGTTCTAGTTTAAGTTATGTGCCTTTATGATTATAAAATCATTTCCCAAGTTTGTTTGTACCAAATTGCTTACAAAAGAATTAAAAACTCTTGACAAAATGCAGTTGAAATATAAAGAAAGCGATTTTGTCGTGCATATATAATAAATAAATAAAGGAGGGGCGGCTCGTGCAATTTTGGCACATTTTTCAAATATCACTCGTAGTGTTAATCATTAATTGCACTCCTTCCCGTGTGATTACCTATACTAAATGACAGGGAATAATACCAGATTTAATTCGAATGTTGAACATGTGAGATGAAATAAATCTGGTATTTCCAAGCACCCATGTATTCTTCTGTTTATTACACTGGCCCGTAGGCCAAGTGTCTTAAATCCCTCTTTTTCTGTCTTTTCCTGTGTTTTCCTGTGCTTTCCTGTGTTTTCCTGTTTTTTTTCGTAGTCGAGAAATCGAGTTTGCGTTAGCTCATCGCAGGCTCAGGGTGCAACGACTAAGCCAAAATGCCATCGATCCCCTCGGTTCCATGATTTACATAGTATAGTAATAAGTCCGTATTTATGTACGTAATAGCCGACTCGTGCCATGCTTGTGGTGCATTTTTCGTTTATTAGCCCATACACTTGTACGCACGCGCACAATTCCGAACTCCAATGGCGGCTTTTCACAGAGTGATCAAACTATATTTTACACAGTTTCGTTGAATTTTCAAAGACTTGTGCCGGTTTCCTATGGATTTTACGTTGTGTCGTACTCTGGACTTTCTTGCGTGTTGAATTAATGTGTTTTTCTTTGTGTAACGACTCGAAAATTTAGACCCAGCGAATTTATACAATATATAGAAGGATATTTAAACAAGGACAAGTTAAAGGTTTGACAGTTTGACTTTTTAATAAACAACTATAAATATACGTCGTGGACTCATAACATCCGTTGTGTACTTGTGTTAATTTTTGCATCGCACTCTGGACTTTCTTGCCTGTTGAATAAATGTTTTTCTTTTTGTATTAAATTAAACGACTCGAAAACCCCAAAATTTCATAAATTTGTACCCAGCGAATTTATACAATATATTGGAATATAAACAAGGACAAACTCTCCGAATTCCTTACGATAGTTTTAGTCAAATGTCGACAATATGCCTTTAAATACATGTATTAAAATCCGCGCAGTACTAGAATTAAGAGAATTAGCGTAGCGCTGGCCGCTTAGCCTGTGTACAGCCGTAAATTCTCACAGGCTATGGCCGCTGGGTGCGGAAATTTTAGTACTGCGCGAAATATAATCCGCGCGAAAAGCTTTGTGGTAGCTATACTAAAGATAAAGCGTGCGTTCAAAATACCAACAAGAACTAGAACCATTATTGTATGGTTCTCATTTGCTAAACTTGCCACAAGTCGACCTCGAAGAAACGCATTTCGTTCGAGGTCGACTTGTGGCAAGTCTACTCATTTGCCTAATACAATAACATTAGTTCGACGCGAATTTTAATACAAGTATGGTATCATATTTCATAATATAACAAACAATGTAAACGTACTAGCCATACATTTTGCCGAACATAACTTCGGCCCCTTTGGACATATCTTTTTCGTAATGATATTATTGGAACCAGAATCGAAAACACTATTTATAGTGTTATTTTCAAGCTTGTGTCTTGAGATTGTCATCTTTTATTTCGGTATTTACAGAATATTTATATTTTTAGCGCGGCCCATGGGAACGCACATCAAAATAACGCGCTGTTTAGGAAAAACCGGAAATCGATTCTGTAGGTCGGCATGATTTGCACGTGCATTGATCGAGCTATAAACGTGCGTGCGAGTAAAAACCCGATATTCTGAAAAATTCTAAATAAATATTCCTACTCTGTGCCGTATTCAAACGAAACTTTGTATATGAAAGCGCTTGAATACAAGATGTATTTTACTCACATTGACTCTGAGCAAATTCTGAAGAGTCCCTAAAGAATACTAAAGCAGGGTGCATTGCCTGTTAATGGGTTAATATAAAGAGACATTGGCAGATGTGTATCTGACAGTACTCTGCCACTAACAAGTAAAATCGTTATTTTCAGGCCAGTGTGAACGCCTGAGCAGGCGTCTTGTTATATAAAGGACAGTCTTTGAAAAGCGATAATTTTTACAGAAAAGCGATAATTGAAAAGCGATAATTTTCACGTGTGAAATTATCATAAATAATTGAGTATAGTCAGTTTTCTCAGTGCTCGAAATCTCTTTCAAAAACTCATTAATAATTCATGAAGCAATTATCCAATCTTGAGTAAGAAATTAGTCACGTGCATACGTCTTTATACCAGCTAAAGAACACTTTAACAAAAGACCATTGTTATGCAAACTATATAAAGATTTTTATATAAATATTTTTATATAAAGATTTTTATATAAAGATTTGACTTATTATGCAAACGTTTTTGAAGCCATTTAAAAAACTCGCAGGTCGTGTTTTATTAGGTCTAAAGCCACTCGCGCTGCGTGCTCGTGGCTTTAGACCTAATAAAACACTCTTGCTCGTTTTTTAAATAGTACATAAAGCACTATAGTTGATATAATAAAGATTAAAAATATATAATTATGTTGTTATATTTGAACTGATCTTAAAAGTATAGATCATTCCGCACTGAAGTAATGACCGGCAAGATTTAAAAGGACATGCATGTCACAATTCGACGTACATTATAATGTTCAAACATTGTTGTGCCGGGACAAAATTCCATTCGCATTACACGTTGCAAGAAACAAATTTGCATGATAGAATTTGCATGAATATCATGAACAGAACCGTCAACTAAAGAATAATCGAATAGATATACAAGCGAACTCATATGCAACTCAATGTCGTAACTCGTTCACTCCTTTCAGGCTAAAGAGTAAAGGCCTAAAGCCTTGGGCCATTCCATTTAATATACCCCCTATGGATGAGGTTTTCTGAGGGGTTGTCTGAATTTTAACAAAATTCTTAAGGGTTGCCTGTAAATTATTAAAATTTCTTAAGGGTCATCTCTAATTTACTAAAATTTCTTGACGTTTATAACATCGAATAAAACTTTTCCGAAGGGTTGTCTAAAATATGAAAAATTCTGAACAGCATGCTATTGGAGATGAGGTTTTCTGAGGGATCGCCTGAATTTTAAAAAAATTCTTAGGGTTTGTCCACCAGGACGACGAATTTCTGGGGAATCGTGCACATCTAAACAATCAAACGTTACAGTATAGTTACAGTGGTGCGGTACTGTGGAATTCTCTTCCTATAGAATTACGGCAGGCTAGCTCTTTACGTAAATTCAAGGCTGATTGTAGCAACTTCATTCGATAATTTTAATATTTTTACTCCTATCTACATTATTAGTTAATAATGCACGGCAATCATGGAAAACAGGTATTAATAATGTATTTCCATATTTTGTTATTTGTAATGTCCCTTGTCTATTTTATTGTAAATCCTGATGAGTCTACCGTGGTTAAATAAAGTTCACTTACTTACTTACTTACTTACGTATTATTAAAAAATACCAGATATTAAACGTGTCAAAAACACAAATAGATGGCTTTATTCTATATTCGCCAGAGGTTGGGTTTATAATTATTGTAGAAACCCTCTAAAATTCTGAGGGGTTGGCTCTCAACACTTTGTTTCTGAGGGGTTAATATTTTGTATGTAAATTTCTTAAGGGTCGCTTTTCATAAATGGCAATTTCTGAGGGGTCAGAAAAATAGCAACCTCATCCATAGGAATTTCTGATGAGTATGACCGTTTGGGAAAAAAATTCAGACGGTTGTCTATGAAAATCCCATTTCTTAAGGGTAGGCATGTCGAACCACAGTTGATTTCTGAGAGGGTTGATTTCTCAAAACTATCAGACCTCATCCATAGGGGGGGGGTGTATATTAAAGGCAAAGCGGCGAGTAAGCTATAACTAGTAACGAAATTTTCATGCGGTTTCTTTAAGATATACAAACGTTTAACGCATACATGCATTTCACAATGCCGCAACTCACAACACTGTACTACTGTTGGGAAATATAGTATTTTTAATGTCACTAGACCGGCTTAACTTAATGCATAACTTAATTATATGTGAACTTTTGCAGTACAGACTGTAAGCGTGCTACCCAAACAATTTGAGCCATGCCTCCGAGACCAAGAGTGGCAATTAGACAAGCCCGAAAATTAATTTGTCCTGCTGAACAAAATATGCTTCGCGAAATGTACAATTTTGACAGTCACGCAGCTCGAGTATAGGTTTTCTATGGTGACCGGACATTTTGCCGAAAGACACTTTGCCGAAAGACATTTTGCCGAAAGACATTTTGCCGAAAGACATTTTGCCGAACGGACATTTTGCCGACGGACGTTTTGCCGAACGGACGTTTTACCGAACAGACAACTTGCCGAAAATAGAGATGCTATTTCGTCAAAAAGTTTGGGACTGTGCCTCGTTTCTCAACTTTGTAATTCTCGACCATTGTGTAAAATAAGCAGTGCTTAATGGGTCATCAGCAGTACATAACCAATTGACTATTATAGCTTGTTTGTGCAGCGGATGAGTCATTTGTTAGGAACGTGTTTTGACGTCAGGTCGTCAACAAACAAGCGCATACAAAGACAACGACGTAAGCGAATTTCACTTCGAGAATCATGGAATACATTCACAGTTCTCGGGGAAATCGCATGCATCAATGATGTTGAATGATGTTTTTCTTTATATCGCGAAATTTCGGTAAACTTGTCAAGAACTTGAAAGAATATAAAACGAGACTATACTTCACTATCATAGTTTCTGTCATCAAAATCGACAATGACTTTAATCACAGAAATTTCGACCGTGTATAAGCGAACCTATAAAGTTCAGAAGATTATCTCTATTTTCGGCAAACTCTCCGTTCGGCAAACTGTCCGTTCGGCAAAATCAGGTCCGTTCGGCAAATTCTCCGTTCGGCAAAATGTCCGGGTACCGTTTTCTATATCTTTACAAATTGTCCTTTGTAGTAATAGTAAAGACAAGCATAATCTGTCAAAATGACTATCTGCATATAGATTATAGTATACAAATAATGAATGTTTCTTCGTGCAATGGTAAGAATATTTTCATGAGGTGAAAGATGGAATGTTCCATTCAACGAGGCGACAGCCGAGTTGAATGGAACATTCCATCTTTCACCGAATGAAAATATTCTTACCATTGCACGAAGAAACATTCATTATTTGTTTTATATAATACCAAAATAGACTAATAGATTCGTATGAGAAGACTTTTGAGGGATGCGATTTATCGAAAACACAAAGAGTGCAATTGCACTATACGTTTTATTCCATTGCACTCGCGGAGAGTGCAATGGAACGTGTTCCATTGCACTCTTGGGAAATGGAATTTTCTATTCAATATCACGTGACCATAAACAGCCAATTAAATGATTAGAATTTAATAAGGTATTATATAATAATGATTTATTACCAAAATGTCATGACCATGCAAATTACAAAACGAATAACTCAGGACAACATATTTATCATACAAGACAGGTAATGCAACAGCCAATAGAACCTTACTATTTTGCGTTTAGCCGTGTTTTGCAGGTCATATAGTGAGAGCCAATAATAAACAGTGATTTTGCGTGTCTTTCGTCGAGTTATTAGGGAGTTTACGATCTGCGACGCGGCCGGTTCAACAACGCGGTCTAAATTTTAGCTCAAGATCTAGAATGAGCGCTAAGCAATTCGATTACTGTAATAAATATTTGACTCTTTCAAATAACCTTATAAAATGCTACGTTCGGCTAAAGCGATGCAATGTTTGCTGTAATTTCGACTTTTTAATAGTAACACCTCTTGTGTCGCATTAAGCTTTCGCGTTGCCCGAAAGACGTAATAATCCTTTTTTAACGTTGTGTTGAGAATGACAACGCGGTTGACAATACTCATGGGACCACAAATTATTGACAGTTTTTGTCTTGCATGACAAATTTCTTTGTAAGCTCTTTGTAGGTTTGCATGGCGATAAAACACATAATACTCTTGTTTGTGGAAACACCAAATTTCTTTGTTTTGAAAGCGCGTCGTCGAGCCGGCCGCGTCGTAGATCGTAAACTCCCTAATGATATTAAAGAGGCTTTACGTCCATATGAACACGGCCAGACCGGTCAGAACGATCAAATTGTTGAATGAAGATTTAATAATTTAAATATGCTGGAAGTGCGACCAGGATTGAACATAATGATTTTTGAGACGTTCTCTGGTTGAACATTTTTTATTCACGAGCTTTCGGCTGCCAGACTGCAGCCTCCAACGGGTAGTTATAAAATACAGTGATTACAGACGACTATACGGTTTACAATTACAGATCGAAGCATACGCCTACGCTACGCCTACACTGTAAAGAAATTTTTTTCTCTATTTAGAGAAACAAAAACTCTAGCTCTTTATCTTTATTTGGAGAAACAAAACTCTAGCTCTTTATCTTTATTTGGAGAAACAAAAACTCTAGCTCTTTATCTTTATTTAGAGAAACAAAAATAGATAATGGGGACCACTAGACAATTCCCATTATAGACTAATTTTTTATCTTAGCAAAAAAAGTATATTCCCGGGAAGGGCATACTAAAATTAGTAAAATTGCAAAGTTTGGTTGCAAAATGTTGTAAAATGTAAAAAATATAGCCTTCCAAAGTTTGCAAATTTTGTATACTTCTGTATTGCAATTTTCGCATGCACAACATTTCGCAACCAAACTTTGCAATCATTTACTTATTTTAGTATGCTCTTTCTAGCTGTGGTGAGTTAGGGACCGGTCATAAAGTAATTACTAGAGGGGGGTGGAGGATAAATGGAATTTCAAGAACATATTTCCATACCCTCCCACAAACCTATGGAAAAATGTTCGTAACCCCCTTCAATGTAAGTGAACATTTTCATAACCCCCCCCCAGTTCTATCATTAATTCTGTTTTAACATTTGAATCCTACTTATCATCTGACATTGAGTCAGACTAAAACATATACCTTGTGATGATTTAATAATTATAGTAAAGCAATTCTTTCCAAGCTTAAATCTGGGCACAAATACATTCAATATTCAACAATAGTTATAAAATGTAATTTTTTTCCGTACCTATAGTCCTAAGATTTTGGTACCCCCCTAGAGGTTCTGTTGTTTTTTTCGTACCCCCCTCAGAGGTTCTCTTTTTTTAGTTTTTTATTCATACTCCCCAAAAATATCCTCCACACCCCCTAGTAAATACTTTATGACCGTCCCCTTATTTGCGTCAAGGCCGGATTTTGAGGCGAGGTGTGGAGAGCTGCACACCTCCCCTGAGATCGTTTTGCACCTCCCCTGAGCATTTTTGCATCTCTCCTGAAAGGTCATGCACCTTCCCCTTGGGAATTAGTTTCAATGATGGAACAAAGTGAAAATGTGATGGTTGCTTAGGATCAGTACACTTCGTGACGTAAGAAAGTTTTCTCTGTAAAATTGAAACAGTGATAGCCATCGATCTCTGTGTCAAGTAACCTTTTAATGCAATGTTTTGAAAGAAACTTTGTAGCAATTGTAATGATTAGGGCAAGATTGGAGTCATACAGTCATAATTCATTAATACACTGGTACATATGTACACTACATGCATACCTCACCTCGTTGATATTGGCCTGTTCTACAATAAGCCCTAATTTTCCATGGTGGTTGTGAGCTAGACCGCTTCACCTCCCCAAACATTTTCTTCCACCTCTCCCACTATTTTCACCAAAATCCGGCCTTGATTTGCATCTCTTTGCCTATAAGGCCCTATAGTTCTAAAGTTAGACTATAATGAGAATTGTCTATTTACATGAACATAAGAGACTTTTTATTTGGCTTCCATTTATGAATATTAAAGATCTATAAACATTGTTATTTGTTGTTAAGTTGTTTTGTGATACATTTTAAAACTTACTACTGTTTTTTTCAAACTGGTAAATCTTTTCAAAGCCCCCCTCTTTTCGTCTCTTTGTATTGAAGCCCCCCCCCCCCAGTTTCTCCTCAATCCTCCCCTGTACAATAAATAATGAGCGGTCCCTTATGGATAATGGCAGACATTTAGCATTTCAAAAGGTTAGCATTTCAAAAGAAAGCAATCGCGAAAAGTCGATCGCGCAACATTTTGCACTGAATGGAAATCCACCTTTACGCCAAGCTTACCCGAGCTGCACATTCAATTCCCTTTGTTTTAGGAGCCAATCATCTGGCAGTGTTCAAAAGAGTTAGAGCCAATTGGAAGCCGCCTTAGGGAGGGATTAGCTACTTCAAGGGGGAAAGCCCTTGCACATACACCCTTTTCATAAATGGCTGCCGATTAAAAATTCTTTTATGTGCATATAAATTGGCCCAACTAGCCTCGTACTCGTGTTAAGGTTTCAAAGGAATTTCTACCCAGAAACGAGGCTAGTTGGGCCAATTTATATGCACATAAAAGAATTTTTAATCGGCAGCCATTTATGAAAAGGGTGTATGGGAATATATTGTTTGGGTTGAAATTTTTTACTTGCGTGGATATATTTTGGAAACTATAGTATAGCGTTGCACTTCACGATGTTTACGTAGAATAATACTGTGATCATCTTCTCGCATGTTGTGCAAACAATCGGTGTATATAAAATAGGCGAAATTAAAATTTTTGTTAACAATTACAAACAATCAATCGGGAAACTCGGGTATATCAGGATATGTCCAAATGTTGCTCTTGATACTTCCTATATGCTATGACTTCGACGAAAACTTCTAAAAGATTAAGCTCTCGTTGTCATGTAGAAAAGTATAGCCAAGTTAGGGTATAAACGTTTCAAAGTTTTGTTGCTCAAACAGCAAATTAGTTTACTTTGAAGCTAATATTTCGCTTTCTAACCCACAGTATTATATAAAATTTTATGTCTTCCGAGTTCTGTTGTCTTATAAAGATAAACATCCGTCAAAAGTTCAAATTTCAGCGAAATATATTCGGCATTTGATGCTGTCTGGCCGACTGGCCTAGATTCATACAGTATAATGACATCCTGCATGTCCGCGTTTTAAATATATAACCGAATATCTTCAATATCCAAATCTGATCAGTAACTGTGCATTTTATTACCTGGACAAGTATCAATATCTTTAAATTCAATTTATGTGCAATTTTGACCAAAATTCAACCGACGACCGCTTTCAAAATATTTATATTTATTCCGCTGCTAAATCAACTGACGTCACTTTCCAGAATTTGGAAGGCAAATTCTGAATCTGAAGGACCTGCCAGAGGACCTTGTGCTGCATTTTTCGCAGTCGTTACTGGTCAGGTCTTAAAAATGTATATATATACTCACTTGGATTACAAACCCTAACATTCTAATATAAATTCTGATTGGTTGGTCATGTTTTGTTAGGTCTAAAGCCACTCGCGCTGCGCGCTCGTGTCTTTAAACCTAATAAAACACTCCTGCTCGTTTATTAAACAGTACATAATATATATATATATATATATATATATTATGCCCTCAAATTCTGTTTATTTAAGGCGTTGTTACACTTGTCGAGTCGGTTCGCTGTTAAAGTGCATATGACATGAAATTTCTTATTTTCATAAATGCAAGAAATCTTTAAGCTGTAGTGTAACTTATTTTTCAGTTTCTTATTTTTATGGTTTGTTCCCGAGATATTTCAATTTGTTTGATATGTAAATGAGTGTGAATATGTCCGCTAATTTATGACGTCATGTTGGTTGCAAGCTCTTCAAAATGGTTGAATATCACTGCTATCATCCAACTGATGATAATTTCAAACTTCAGTCACTGGTAAATGTGATGAAACACTGGAAACCATTTACTAAATGAGATACAGAAATTACACAACACAAAATCACAAGCGACTGTGCAGGTCTTATCAGTACCAATTCCTAATTTACAAAATATCGCGGCCGATGGTCAAATCCGACCCTGTGATAGATGTGCATCATCAATTAAGTCGCCTATCAATTACCAAGTAATAACTTTACACAGGCAGTACATACGGTACTAGCTTCAATATAACAAAACCATAACTTCCGGACGAAGGGCCTTGCTTGGAGTCTGTTTAATTTTATCCCGTAATTTTTTTATAGTCAGGATCCCAATGGTCTTTGCAGTTGCGAGTAAGAACATACTATGATTTAAATGCAACATTTCTGATCAAAATCACATTGGGATTTTCTTCCCCCAGCATCACAGAGGGCAAATAAGGTGACGCTGACCGGCTCCTCCTGTTTTTCAAGGCGACTTTTCCAATTTATTTAATTCCGAGTAGAAAATTAGAAATGTCTGGAAAAATTCATGTCTTCGATGTACTTTATAATCTTCGGAATTCTGCAAGATTTCACCCCCAAAATGCTTGAAATCGCATTTCAGGGACTCTAGATTTCAAAATTTTCCTCCAAAATGAGTTTGTTTTGAATTCTTTCTCTATGAGTTTGTTTTCTTTCTATATAAAGTTTGACCGGTCTCGCGCCTTCGGCGTTTGCTTCGCCCCACCAAAAATGAAGGTCTGGCTACGCCACTGTAGTCTGTAGGCTATATAAGTTATATCTCCTAGATTGTGTAAGCTGATTTAGGAGTATCAGATTAAAGATAACTGATATATCGTAGTAATTTCACGCTTGTTGAATATTTCATGATAAATAAATTGGGATCTTTGCCCTTGAAGGTTGGTGTAATATCTACACGTCGAGAATCAAGTTATCGAGTGTCTGCACTTAAGATCAGGCCTGCATTTACATGAAGACGATTAAGTACCTCGACGTCTTTACGTCGTGTCATTGTCAGACAATGGATGTTTTGATGGACTGAAAATTGCGTGACGCGTCAAGCACTTCTAACGGCTATTAACTTGATCCTCTTGAATTCAGAATAGATTTGAGACAGCCAATTTATACTGATTCTTTAACTCAGTGCGAAAAATTATTGCGTGACGCGTCAAGCACTTCTAACGGCTATTAACTTGATCATCTTGAATTCAGAATAGATTTGAGACAGCCAATTTATACTGATTCTTTAACTCAGTGCGAAAAATTATTGGAAACAGATGTAATATTTTGGGATTTTAACCACCTCCTCAATCACTGTCTAGTATCTGAAACAAAACAACAGAAATTTTTGTTTATATATATACATTGCGTGCGAAGGTGGTTCGATAATTAAGGAATTAACAAGCAATTTTATCTTGCCTTTTGTGAAGTATGTGGGTAAATTTAAATAATTATAACTGCGGAAAGTATTGCATTGCTTCATTGGTGTTCAGTGGGAGTTGTTTAGTTGTCTTTTTGCAGAGAACAGGAAAGAAGGGTTCGGGTCTTGCTGTAAGATATCCTGTCGGAGAGTGAAAAATATCAAAGTATTGTTGGTCGCTGTGTTGGTTTTACTTATTGCTCCTTGGTAAGTACGATATTTTACACCAACATAGATTAAAGTAAATTTAAACGCCTGGGGCCGGTTGTTCAAAGGTGGGTTAGCTTAACCCTGGGTTAACCTAAAATTCAAAGCAAACTTCCTGACAGCTTGTGTATAAATTTGGAAATATTTGTTCATATTTCGAAATATTCCTTCATTTCTTCAGATCTTGTCTGGATCGGTAGGAGTTTACTTCTCTGAAATACACAAACTAAAACAGCAGGTTAAATTTTAACCCAGGGTTAGGCTGTTAGCGCTAACCCACCTTTGAACAACCGGTCCCTGCCCAGTTAACCAACTATGTCTTTCGTGATATTGAGCAAAAAATATCGAAAGAATGCAATCAAGAACTCTCAAAATAATTTATCCAACCCTTCAATATACAGCGACGCTTTACCAGTGTTTGACCTTTCAAACTTGACTACAAGACGTGAATCCTTACGTTCAAACTTTATTTTAACTAAAACGCCCTTTACCAGTCCTCGCCGTTATCTAACCTAATACAAATTGAAAACTCTCCCACTTATAATTTACGGGCTTGCAATAAACTCGCAACAATTAAATGTAGGACCGAACGTTTTAGAAAATATTTTATACCATCATGCGTAACGAACATTGATAAAGCATATGTATATAGATATTGGTGTATTATATTTAATTTTAGCATTGTGTTTAATTTTAGCTTATTTATCTATATCTCAATTGTAAATAACGGGCGTATATATTTCAACCTATACAGGTTGCAAATCCTATATTTCTTATAAAAAAAATTCCGATACACAATTACCTAAATTTGACTGGATTAAGTATTCCAGAATAAATTCGGAACTACAGTGTGAGGGCATACATGGAGGTGTTTCGCGAAGGAAAGATGCAATTGGTATGGCAATTTTTACCGTTGTTAGGCGTAGTAATCGACGAATATAAATGCTGTTGAGTATACTGTGAACATAGAACAACATGGTTCGTTATAAAAGCACAGTCATTCGTACACCGTTCCTACAGTCCACCTTCACTGCGATGAGCAATATGACACTGCACGTAAGCAAATTTGCATTCGGACAACTTCTGTATAGCCTGTTAGTAAAAATATATACGCGTGCGTGAAGGCAGAAAATCATATAAAAGAAATGGCATATCCGATAATGTTTTTGGTACAGTGTCATCCAGCGAATGAAAATTCTTCATATCGGCAGAAAAATGCGCGTTTCATTTTTTCGATGAATACGGACGATTCCACAATCCTGTACTTTATACTATAGTGCTGCTAACTCAGATGAAGGCCTTGTTCACACTAGCGGGTTAGATCGATCTCAGACCGATCCATGGCAAAGCGATTTCAATCTGAATGCAAGAATGGGAACTGGGTCGATCTAAATGAGTCCACTTCTGGAGGTGGTCTGAGATCGATCCAACGTAATCCGTGCACAATGTGAACGGAAAGGCAAACTCAAAGCGAACTGAAACTCTGCCGTTTGTTCAGTGACCAGTCGGCCACTGCATGTAGGCTACAAAGGCAGAAGAAGACAATTGCCAGACGCATATGGCGACACGTTTTTCAAGACAATACAATTTCTCATTCTTGTATTTTTTTTTAATTATCCGACGAAACTGCTCACAAATTCAAATATATCTAATTCAAATATACGTCGTGTCATGCGAAAATTCTCAACCCACAGTTTATCGTCAGTCCATTGACTAATCGTTCGCTCCCAAGAAAATCCACCTCGCCTTGGTTCGACCCAAAACTTTCGTTCCCTATTGAGATTTGAACTACATATCGCAAGCATTACATTCAAAGCATCTCGACGAATCTTCCTATGTCTTGACGAAACAACTTTGATGACACCACCATCGGCCATTTATATTTTCTCGCAACATTTGCGGCAAGTCTGTTTTTCGACCAAGTGTGAACGCTTCCCAAATGCGAACTGAGATCGATCCACTTTGGATCGATCTCAGCGGTCGGTGAACAAGGCCGAAATCATTCATTCAACATGGAACATCAAGGGCAACAAATATACTGTTGCTAGTAGCCTAAGACTAGAACACACATAGCCAAGCTAAAATTCTGGAGAAGCTGAAAATCTCGACAGATTACTGCCAGATGCTGGGCAACTTGCATCTATACCAAATGTCTGTCCTTTCCTTGGACATGTTGCATTTACAAAGATAAAATCAATACTTATGTTCTGTTATCCTCAGTCTTTCAACCTCGTTTCATGTTGCTCCTTGCCATTTGAATATTTGTCGATTTAGCACGCGCAAAATAGTCTTAAAAAATAATAATGTCGATAAAAATATAGATGCTGCATTTTTCGCAGTCGTTCCTGGTTAGTCTTAAAATGTATATATTCTCCGACTTGGATTACAAACCCTAACATTCTAATATTAATTCCACCAAGTGAAGTGCAAGAATCCAAAATCATTGAAGTCTACCTTATCACAACCCGCACACCCGATTACCTATATATACATGAACTTACGGTTACAGCACAACAGCTGGCCTCTGTAGCTCAGTTGGTTAGAGCGCTGCACCGGAATCGCAGGGCCGTAGGTTCAATTCCTACCAGAGGACCTTATGCTGCATTTTTCGCAGTCGTTCCTGGTTAGGTCTTAAAATGTATATATTCTCACTTGGATTACAAACCCTAACATTCTAATAAAAATATACATGCTTATATAAATATTTTCCCGCCGATATGACCAGACATAATAAAAAGTATCGGATTCGTCTTTTCTTATATGATTTTCTGCATTTTTGGTTCCCGCGCGTGTATATATTCTTACTAGCAGGCTACAAAAGTTGTCGTGGCAGTGTCATATTACTCGTCGCAGTAAAGGTGGATTCAATCCACAATCGAATTGAAGTCATATTTTAGAAAATGATATACAACTATTCAAGTTTGATAATATACAAATAATGAATGTTTTTATTCGTGCAATGGTAAGAATATTTTCATGAGGTGAAAGATTGAATGTTCCATTCAACGAGGCGACAGCTGAGTTGAATGGAACATTCCATCTTTCACCGAATGAAAATATTCTTACCATTGCACGAATAAAAACATTCATTATTTGTTTTATATAATACCAAAATAGACTAATATTAGTGTTTATATTGTCTTCGATTTGCCATGATGACTTGCTATATAATAATGATAATGATAATGATAATGATAATGATAATTCGGGCAACTTGAATATGGAACCATCTCGTTGATGAAGTATTGTATTTCCTTTTTGTACTTGTGTTATGATGTTGAGGATATATATCCTAAGTGTAATTCTGTTTGTAGTCTCACAACATTATTATGCTGATACATCGATTGGAAATTGGAACTTGATATTATCAGAAAATCTGAAGGCAATTGACACGCATTATAAAATAATTTCATTTTCTTTTTTGCTCTTTCACTCCAACAAGAGCACTGCAAAATTCATATTCTTATTTTTAGCTAATGTTGCACTTGCTAACACCGAATTTGGCTGTAAGTTTTCACAAATTTCGCGAATTTGCAGTTTAGCGGGTATTTCCTAACTGTGCAGTTTTTTATACACCCCGTAGAGTCCATCTCGTTGGACAAGCACAATTTCATAAAAGGAATTGTTTTGTTTTAAACTGTTAAGTTATTAACCTTTAGGGCTTAAGTTATTAACCTAATTGGGCTCAAAGATAGGTTGCAAAAATACCATAATCGTGCTGCAAGAGTAATTACTGGGGCAACTTACGACATTCGGTCATCTGAGTTACTCGATAATCTAAATTGGAAACCTCTCGAAGAAAGACGAAATTATCTTAAATCTATTTTCATCTATAAAATTCTGAATGGCCACACCGCACCCAGTCTTAAAGAAGCATTTCAATTTAATAATGAAAGACACAATACTTACAATCTTAGAAATAGGGATACTGATTTAGCACCACCTGTGCCGAAAACAGAATTCGGCAAGAGGTGCTTCAGTTATAATGGTGCCTTGCATTGGAATAATCTTCCCCATGAGGCAAAAATTGCTGACTCTTTAAGCTCTTTCAAATCGATATTGAAACAAAGAATCAGTTGAAATTTGCTTGTGTGTAATCGTGCAGCTAAAATCACTTGTATTTTTTTGTTGTTATATTTTGTATTTCTTGTAAATAGTTAATTTCTTGTAAATAGGTAATTTCACGCCCCTCATGGAAACCAGCCTTCCAACGGCTGTTGAGGCTAGCGTGGTTTAAATAAAGTTTTGTATGTATGTATGTATGTATGTAAGATTAATATTAAATTCGTGCTAAAAGATTCATAATCTATATTTAGGCTGATTTGAAAGATCGATCTTGAAGAAACGGATTTTTTTACTTGGTAAATGAAACCAACACGTGTCGCCTTCTAATAGATAAATCCCTAGTAATTATCCTAAATCTTGCAAGGAATGGCCATGCGTAGACGGAAAGTGTACTTCAAGTTATTTTTGGTTTCCGGATTGATTTTTATCATATACGGCATTGCCGCCATTTTGAATAACCGTTATGACTACCCAGCTGGTATCCATGTAATAAGTAACTATCCGCTGATGACTGAAAAACCTTGGAACGAAGGCCAAACAGACACCCGCAGAGCCAGACTATGGCAACGACAGGAAGAGATAGAAGAAACGTTGCAGAAAAATCTCAACCACACTTTAGTCACAGCTGTTCATCTTCTCGTTAATCAGCCATCAGCCGAACAAAGATTGAGCGAACAAAATTTTCACAACAAACACAAAATATTTGTACATCGCATCAACGCCTTGCCGAAATACAGAGATTTTTTCGATTACGTAAACGACAGGCTCCAAAATCAGCTTGTGGTTATGATGAATATGGATATTTATATTGGCGAAGGATTTGAAATGGTAAATAAAACTTTTCTGGTAAAAAGTAATAAAGCTTACGTTTTAACACGCCATGGACGTCTGGAAAAAAAATGCAACATGGGCGGAAAACGCGGATATTGTGGAGCAAACTATATTCGTTCACACGATGCCTATATTTTTGTGCTTACACAACCTTTAGACGAGTCTGTTCTGGCGGAGTTGGATTATGATATGAATGTCCTTGGGGCGGAAAACAGACTGATTTGGGTATTAAGAAACCGGGTGAAAAAGAGACTTCTCAATCCGTGTGAACACTTAAAGACATACCACAACCACTGTGTTGATATACATGGTAGTGTAAGACCACGAATAGATAAGGGTGGGTATAAAGGTGGTGGGGTGGAACCTAGTGGGTTATAGGAACGGTGTGAAGTGCCTGTTTACCAATTTTAGTATGCCCTTTCCGGGAATGTACTTTTTGTGCCAAGATAAAAAATTAGTCTATAATGGGAATTGTTTATTAGATAGTCATATTATTACATCAATGTACATAAAAAGTACAATAGTAAGTAGTTTGTACATGTAGAAATCCGTTTACGTCATCATATATTAGTGTCAATGTTCTGTCAAAGTAATGTTGATTTCTGTTGTAATATAATTATGTCGAATATTAATTTAGTTAGTCAAATTAGCCACATTTTATTATTAGTTAGTTATAATGTATGGTATTACTAGTCACATGATCACGTAAGCTATGCTGTGATATTATCATTATCGTGTTTAAATAAATGCTTTTGTTATTATTGCTGCCGCAGCGAGCGAGCCTGAAGCGAGCGAGCAAGGCAGCAGCCTAATCTCTGTGTATATGTATTATATATATGCAGATGAAATCTCGATCGTTTCGGCGTATTTCGGCCTACTACAATGCACTGGTTCCGGGCCGCGGCAGGCTATTCTTGCCTAATAAAGAGGCATAAGGCAAACAAGCAATGTGATCATCTTTCATCTTTGGTTTTCTTTTATGGAAAGCCATAGCTGGCGTAAGTGATCAAACGGCATTTTGTCGATACGCAGTGGTTCGAGCGTTATGCGCGGTGCTTTCGCTATTATACGCAGTGGTTCGAGCATTATACGTGGTGCTTTCGCCATTATACGGGGTGCTTTTAACATGATTTCAATATTCTTTCCATGTATATAATCTCACATTGCTTAAATTTGGTATGTGGCTGTGCTTTTTACCTCTGGTCTGCAATGACAAATGACAATGACATGCTTTTAAAAAGGTTTATTTATAAAAAGGTGACTGCACTTTGTGAGTTCTATATTATCATATAGTGTTGATTTATTAGTAACAAATTTGTGTATATAACATAGGTATATAAATTAATATAACGCAGCGAATGCGCGCCAAGCAGTATGAGTTATTAAACGCGGCTGAAATACGATATTAAAATCTTGAATGTGCCGTATGATTTAATTATGTTTTAGGATTTAAAGCCTTTAATTTAAAAATGCTTTGTCATTTGTATTTGTATTTGTACTTGTACTGGTACTGCATCACATATTAAACACACAAATTTAGTGAGACGCACACTCGCACATGTTAAATGTCACCTGCTTGTCATTGTCATTGCCCTATAACCCCTAGGCCGTTTTGGCCTAGCACCGTATTTGTAGGCAAATTGTCTATACAATTTTATATACTAGATATCACAGCCATACCTGCCATTTTGATCTTTTCCTCGCGTTAGATAAGTTGATAAGTACACTCATTCTCTTGTTAGCCATCGTACCTGTTCGGCTGTTCCTCTCTCGATACGAAACTTCGAGCGCCGAGTTATCACACGGCACATTCAAGTGTATAAATTATGGATGATTCCAATTCATTACAAATATTTCTTACTCTTATTCTTTAAAATATTAAAGATTTGGGAACAATGCTATACCAAGGCAGCATTCACTACCCTGTGGGTAAATTAGTACCTTACAGTATTATAATATGTTAACTCATTAATAATTCATGAAGAATTGTCGGTGGTTTTAAATGTGATAAAAAGTCATGTTAATTTACATAAACTTTAGCTTCTCGGCTTAGACAACGTTTATTTTAAAAATTACTTTGCCAATGTACTCATCAGATCGGCTTGTTTTTTTAAGCCATTTAAAACCCTCGCAGTCTGTTCTTTATTAGATATAAAACACTCTACAGGGTGTATAAAAAAAAACTGAACAGATTTGAAATTGCTCTCAATTTCGCAAAACACTTATTTGTATCTGGTTTTTTATATATATAGCTTCTTTGGGTACTTATAATGTAAAATAATGAGAAAAAAATTCTCGAACTCAAATTTTGTGAACCAGGGGGTGTGTCTTTTCCAACAAACTAAAAATGGCTCGCGCACAAAATTTAAAAGCTGTAATCATA